GGCAACGTGAGGTAAAATGTTGTATCACTAGCTTCCTATATCACAGCAAGGTATAGGATGGTCCTTGGGCAACGTGATGTAAAGCGTTGTATCACCACTTAGTTCCATAGTGGTGGTTATCGGTTAGAAAAACTCCCACAGTAGAAAGTGCATGGTTCCTCGAGGAGTTCTGCTTAGTGTGGATGGGGGTATGGGACTTCATTCATAAGAAGTGAGATAGTTCCTAAATGTTGTAGCCTCCCAATTATAGATGTGGCGCGCTTCACACCGATAACTAGGACTCTACAGACACGGCTTCATAGACTCCCTAGGACTCTTGAACTCTGTGCTCTGATACCAAGTTTGTCACGCCCCGAGCCTACACCCTGGGGGGACCGGCACCCGGAGACCATTGCTGGCCCCAGGCGAACCCTTGGCCTGGCTTTCTTAACTCAACGGAAACTTAACTCAACAGCACAACTCAATGTAATGAAAGGTTATAAAACAACCAACAGATGCATAACATGCCAAAAGGCAGCTCGAGTCTCAAAATAGAATATTTACATATATACATAGATAAGAGACTCAATACTAACTGACTGTCTGTCTATGAAGCCTCTAACATACTGAGATGGATGTTGGGACAGACCCTGCAACATCCTAACAAAATAAAACTAGAAACACAAAATAACAGAGTCCTCTGGAAAGCAAGGAGGCTCACCACTGACTCTAGAGTGCTTAACTGGATCAACGGCGTGCAGGATGCTGATCCGGGGTACCTGTGTCTGCATCGTCATAAGATGCAGGCATCAGTACATTTAATGTACGAGTATGCGAGCTGGAAAGCTAAACCACAACTTAAGCTTGAAAAGAGTACAAGAGAACACTTACCTTGGCTCTGTTCAACTCATGAATAACTGAACTCAATATATAAAGCAATAAGACACATGCAATATATAAATCTTGTAAGACTCTTAAAACATGACGTAAAAAAAATCATATTTATAATATCATGAAAATACCATGCTTCCTCTCAAGGTCTACTTGTGCAATGTATGAATGAAGTCCCATACCCCATCCACACTAAGCAGAACCCTCAAGGAACCAAGCTCTTTTTACTGTGGGAGCTTCTCTAACCGACAAACCACCACTATGAATCTAAGTGGTGATACAACGTTTTACCTCACGTTGCCTGAGGACCATCCTATACCTGGTTTTGATATAGGAAGCTAACTTTACTAAGTGGATCCACTAGCTTAACTTTACGGGTTCATCTAAAAAGTATGACCCGTTAACTCCCATGTTGGCTACATGGTTCTTATGGAGAGTTGAGTTTAATATGAACTCGTATCCCTAATTAGGTGCTCAAGACTACTCCCAAAAATACTTTAGCTCATAAGTGTTTTAAACACATCTTTCTTTAGTTGAGATAATTACTCAAAATCTAGCCCAAAGGCTCACTTGGAATCGATGTTCCTTTTTCTTGAAAACTAGCACAAAGGCTCTTTTGGAAACATAGTTCCTTTCTTACTCAAATGTAAAAACATTTAGAAACTTCTTTGGGAATACATAGTTCCCTAATAACTTTTGAGAAATGAACTCAACTTTAAACTCTTGACTCAACTGAAACTTGAGACCTCTTACTTAGCTTAAAACTCTAAGCTCTTTGCTTGACTTGAAACTTGAGTCTAAAAATGAAGTTAAAACGTTCAATAAAGACTCTTGAACAACCTTGAAGACTTGCTTGACTTACTTCTTAACCCTTGAACTTAACTCTTAACTTCACTTGACTTCTAACTTCACTTGACTTGGAAGCTAACTCTCCTTGAATTGGATTTATGGATTCAAGGTGTTTGATCACATGTTACGGATGAGTTCGGGAGGTTTAAACGTACATTAGAGTGTTGGAAACAACCACAAAACATAGGTACAATACCAAGGAACATGCATGGGAAGGTATGAAATGAAAGGGAACACTTGGTGTCCTTGGCGCTCTGCGCCTTGCAGAGCGCCAGCCCCAAACTACAGAGGGGGCCTGTTGGCGCTTTGAGAGGCGCGCCGCCCCAAGGGGGAAACTTCAGAATCCCTTTTGGGGTGCGCTGGCAGGCGCGACGCGCCAGCCCTCTTGCCCAGAAACTCAACTTTTCTCCCTTGTTTTGCCAACTCTAAACCACCCTTCCTTCAAGGGTTTCAGCCCCAAACATTTAGGATCATCAAATCCCTCAACATCCAAGAGATTTAACTCAAAACCACAACAAAAAACATGCCCAAAACAACAAGGTACTTCAACAATACCAACAACAACACAACCAATCTTTTCTCAAAATAAAAGGAGTTTGATGTGTGGGGGAAAGGATCAACCCAACACTAACTACTCACATACCTAGTAGGGATCACCCCCAACGATTTCCACGACGATCTTTGACGGAAACTCCTTGATCTCCTCTTCTTCTTCTCTTCTTTCTCTTCTTTCTCTCTTCTTCTCTTCTTCACTCAAGAACCCTAACTCTAACTCTTATAAAATGGGACAAAAATGATCCAAAATCAGCCTAACACAACAATATAACCTCAAAAGAAATGATTTGAGAAAAGACCAAAATGTCCTTAAATTTCCAGACGGATCCCCTGCCAACTGCCCAACTTTCAAAGGGTATAACTCGCTCATCCGAACTCGGAATCGAGCAAACTCAGTGGCGTTGGAAAGATCATTCCACGAACTATGCAACCATAATTGGAACTACTCCTAACTCATCCTGATCTAGAAGTTATGATTGCTCAAAGTTGGCCAAAAACTCACCTTTTTCCATACTTAACAAATTTCCAGATTTTTAAATCTTCCCAAAAAGGACTATTTCCAATTCTAAGCCTCTTCGCAATTATTTCAAATCGCTGGATGTTACAGTTTAGCTTTCCAACTCGCATACTCATACATTCAATGTACTGATGCCAGTTGGCCTGCATCTTATGATGATGCAGACACAGGTACCCAGGACCAGCATCCGGTACGCCGTTGATCCATCTAAGTACTCTAGAGTCAGTGTTGAGCCTCTTTGCATTCCGGAGGATTCGGTCATTTTGTTCTCTTAGTTTTGTTTTATTAGGATGTTGTGGGGTCTGTCCCAACATTCATCTCAGTATTTTAGAGGCTTCATAGACAGTCAGTCAGTTAGCTTTGAGTCTCTCATCTTTGTATATATGTAAATATTCTATTTTGAGACTCGAGTTGCCTTTTTGGCCAGATTTTATTAGTTAGGTTGTTTTATAACCTTGCATTGCATTGAGTTATTCCGCTGAGTTAAGAAAGCCTGGCCAAGGGTTCGCTTGGGGGCCAGCAATGGTCTTCGAGTGCCGGCCACGTCCAGGGTGTAGGCTCGGGGCGTGACACACCATACCAAAGTTTACAACTTGACAGATTTGACAAGAACATAAAGGTGTGATTTGTGGTCCTGTTAATGTGTAAGACATATATGTAAAAGAAAAGTCTTAGCTTTAGATATTTTTATGCAATTTTAATGGCCTTAAATAAGGAAGTCGACACACAAATATTTACTCTCCCATCACATTTTATGTGGTACTTTTTCAAGATTCAAACAAGTCAATCTATATCTGTAAATTTTCCATAGATCTTTTGAACATTTTGAATTTTCAATTGTTGTGACATATAGTACTTTTTATGTAGTTTACAAATATATAAATTTCATTTCAAAAAAATTGAAGATTTCATGTGGAAATTCTCAATCAAATTTAAACTGTTTGACTGTCGAAAAACTAAAAGTGTCACATAAATTGCATATAGTATTAAATTTGATAGACATGGTCCCATCTCCCATGGGAGTGTTATTTCCATTGAATAATTGAGTTTGTAATTATTTACAACTCCATTCCAATTTCCAACATCTTACTTCATTTCAAAAAATATAGATTCATTGCTTACTCATAATACTCTATGGCTGAAGCTTTCCTTCAAGTTCTGTTAGACAATCTGACTTGTTTCATCCAAGGGGAACTTGGATTGATTCTTGGTTTTAAGGATGAGTTCGAAAAGCTTCAAAGCACGTTTACTACAATCCAAGCTGTGCTAGAAGATGCTCAGAAGAAGCAATTGAAGGACAAGGCAATAGAAAATTGGTTGCAGAAACTCAATGCTGCTGCATATGAAGCTGATGACATCTTGAACGAATGTAAAACTGAGGCACCAATTAGACAGAAGAAGAATAAATATGGGTGTTATCATCCAAATGTTATCACTTTCCGTCACAAGATTGGGAAAAGGATGAAAAAGAATATGGAGAAACTAGATGCAATTGCAGCGGAACGAATTAAGTTTCACTTGGATGAAAAGACTATTGAGAGACAAGTTGCTACACGCCAAACAGGTGCTCATCTTTAAATATTTTTCTAAAAAACAGCTTTATATCATCAAATTCATGTGTGTTTTTGGGATTTTGTCTAATCTAAATGTTCGTCTCAAGTCTAAGTAGATAAGTGGATCCAGATTTAGATTTATTCCATTTATTCTGATATACTGTTCAAAATCGATTATCTAAATCTGTTTAGTGATGTTTTTAACATATATATATAACCTCAGATAAATCCATAGCTTACTCATAGGCCCCCAAGTCTAAATGACAGGATAAAGCCAGAGTTGTTTTAGATCTTATAAATTAACAATGATAATAATGTGAATTCAAAAAAGTGCATTTTTTTAATTTGAAATATGTCTCTGCTGCTTCTCAAGCTTATCATTGTCTTTTAATTGTGCAAAATTCTTCTTTGTTTTTTCTGCTGACTCCTACCGAGCTTGGACCAGGTTTTGTTTTAAATGAACCACAAGTTTATGGAAGAGACAAAGAAATGGATGAGATAGTGAAAATCCTGATAAATAATGTTAGCGATGCCCAAACACTTTCAGTCCTCCCAATACTTGGTATGGGGGACTAGGAAAGACGACACTTGCCCAAATGGTCTTCAATGATCAGAGAGTAATTGAGCATTTCCATCCCAAAATATGGATTTGTGTCTCGGAAGATTTTAATGAGAAGAGGTTGATAAAGGAAATTGTAGAATCTATTGAAGAAAAGTCACTTGGTGACATGGACTTGGCTCCACTTCAAAAGAAGCTTCGGGACTTGCTGAATGGAAAAAAATATTTGCTTGTATTAGATGATGTTTGGAATGAAGATCAAGATAAGTGGGCTAAGTTAAGACAAGTCTTGAAGGTTGGAGCAAGTGGTGCTTCTATTCTAACCACTACTCGTCTTGAAAAGGTTGGATCAATCATGGGAACTTTGCAACCATATGAATTGTCAAATTTGTCTCAAGAAGATTGTTGGTTGTTGTTCATGCAACGTGCATTTGGGCACCAAGAAGAAATAAATCATAATCTTGTGGCTATCGGAAAGGAGATTGTGAAAAAATGTGGTGGTGTGCCTCTAGCAGCTAAAACTCTTGGAGGTATTTTGCACTTCAAGAGAGAAGAAGAGATAGTGAGATTTGGAAATTGCCTCAAGAAGAAAGTTCTATTCTGCCTGCCCTGAGACTTAGTTACCATCATCTTCCATTTGATTTGAGACAATGCTTTGCATATTGTGCAGTATTCCCAAAGGATACCAAAATGGAAAAGCAAAATCTAATCTCTCTCTGGATGGCACACGGTTTTCATTTATCGAAAGGAAACTTGGAGCTAGAGGATGTAGGTAATGAAGTATGGAATGAATTATACTTGAGGTCTTTCTTCCAAGAGATTGAAGTTAAATCTGGTAAAACTTATTTCAAGATGCATGATCTCATCCATGATCTGGCTACATCTCTGTTTACGACAAGCGCATCAAGCAACAATATCCCTGAAATAAATGTTAAAGGTTACCCACATATGATGTCGATTGGTTTAGCAAAAGTGGTGTCTTCTTACTCTCCTTATCACTTGCAAAAGTTTGTCTCGTTGAGGGGCTTAATCTAAGTAAATTAAGACTTAAGCATTTACCGTCTTCCATTGGAGATCTAGTATATTTAAGATACTTGAACCTGTCTTGCAATGACATGCGCAGTCTTCCAAAGCAGTTATGCAAGCTTCAAAATCTGCAGACTCTTGATCTACATAATTGCGAGTCACTTTGTTGTTTGCCAAAGAAACAAGTAAACTTGGTAGTCTCCGAAATCTTTTACTTGATAGTTGCTATGGATTGACTTGTATGCCACCAAGGATGGGATCTTTGACATGCCTTAAGACTCTTAGTTGCTTTGCAGTGGGAAGGAAGAAAAGTTGTCAACTTGGTGAATTACGAAACCTGAGTCTCTACGGCTCAATTGAAATCACGCATCTTGAGAGATTGAAGAATGATATGGATGCAAAAGAAGCCAATTTATCTGCAAAAGAAAATCTGCATTCTTTAAGCATGAGATGGGATGAGATGAACGTCCACATAGATATGAATCAGAAGAAGTTGAAGTGATTGATGTCCTCAAACCACACTCCAATCTGACTTGTTTAACAATCAATGGCTTCAGAGGAATCCGTCTCCCAGACTGGTTGAATCACTCAGTTTTGAAAAATGTTGTCTCTATTGAAATCATCTAGTCTAAAAAGTCTATGTTTATGGAGTGGGTCTGCGGAAGTGGAGTATGTTGATTCTGGATTCCCTACAAGAAGAAGGTTTCCATCTCTGAGAAAACTTATTACAGTCAAATTTGATAATCTGAAAGGATTGCTGAAAAAAGGAAGGAGAAGAGCAATTCCCTGTGCTTGAAGAGATGGAGATTCACTGGTGCCCTATGTTTGTTTTTCCGACCCTTTCTTCTGTCAAGAAATTGGTAGCTTCTGGGAACAAGTCATATGCAATAGGTTTCAGTTCGCTATCTAATCTCAGGGCTCTTACTTCCCTCCACATTCGCTATAACGAAGAAGATACTTCGCTCCCAGAAGAGATGTTCAAAAGCCTAGCAAATCTCAAATACTTGAAATTCTTTTTCTGCAATCTCAAAGAGCTGCCTACCAGCCTGGCTAGTCTTAAAGCTTTGAAGCATCTGGATATTATTGGGTGTGACGCACTAGAGAGTCTCCCCGAGGAAGGGGTGAAAGGTTTAACTTCACTCACACAGTTATCCATAACATACTGTGAAATGCTAAAATGTTTACCGCAGGGATTGTAGCACCTAACAGCCCTCACAAATTTATCAGTTAGTGAATGTCCAACACTGGCCAAGCGATGTGAGAAGGGAATAGGAGAAGACTGGTACAAAATTGCTCACATTCCTGATGTGTTTATCAGTTAAGTCTTATTCCTAATTAGATGTAATTTTCTGATTTTCTTTTGGAATCAAATCAACTATTTGTATTATACTTGATTTTTCTTGGGTCTGTAACAATAAGTATTTGAAATTTTTCATAGTAAGATTCAGAATTAGTCTTATAGCTAACTCTATCTTCTCATAGTTTAATAACGTCAATATGATATTTATATTACATTATTACTTATGTTGTGATTTATCAACAAGATTTTGACAGTTTATTAAAGAATTTCAAGTTTTTATTGTTTGCACAAGTAACCAGCCAGAAATTAAATTTTGAGATAAAAGTGATTTGTGTATCATGGCTTAAGTCGGAATTTCAAATTTTTTTCTCAATTAATTATATATATGGCATTTTGTAAAAATTGGTTAGTGTGGATTTTGATTTTATTCAATAGTGTCTTGTATTTATTAAAATACTAGTTCTGGACACGTGCTTCACACGTGAGTCTCCTAAAACATTATATACATAATACGATATAAGTTATGTCAAAATCACATTGTAATAAGTATCACAAACTATTCAACAAAAAAATACAATTTGAAACAGATGAACTATCAACCTATTCAAATAACTCATCCTCTATTGTATGTCAAATGATTAGACATTCGATGAACAACACGACATGATTGGGTGATTACAATATTAAGTTACATTTTTATGTTATTAGGCCCAAACATGTGATATATTAGTATGAGAAAAATGAATATACAAAAAATGATTAAGTGACTCTGATTTTACTGCAGAAGGAAAATTTCTATATACATAATACTTTGTAGTTATCCTTTATTATTTCATCCACTGACGGGTGAGGATTAGGAATATTCTTGATGTTAATTTATATAACAATTTAACATTTTTTTTAAAATTATATAAGATTTTAATATAAATTCATCATTAATACTAATTGATAACTGAAGGAAATCAAAAGGTTTGTCATCAATAGGATTTGATTGAATCACATACATCCTCTATTAATATTTATGTTATCCATCACACGGGAACTTGATCGTGTGTCGTTTGATCCTTGAAGTAATTGTTGAAGAATCAATCTTTTCTCTTCGATTGATTATACATGTTCTCTCTATTGTTCAAATGTAACATTATCCCTTGATTTTTAAATTTATATTATGGAAATTGTTTTGGAATGATGATTGAAAATGAAGCTTAACAAATTTAGCATCTATTATTTCTATTTCTATTATATAGAAGAGCCATGAGAAGGACGACCAATGGCATTTTAGTAATTTTAACATCATTTAAGGGCAAAATAATAATTCTATAATTAATGGTCAAAATAAAAATTTAGAAGAATCCATACATGTAACTTTTGTTATGGGCCCATAAGGATATTATTGTAATTTTGTTATAATGAAGAGTTTCTATTAGTTAACTTCTTACAAACAATAATAAATGCTAAGCTTATTTTGACATATTTTAGAAAGAAAATTTTTAACTAATTAAAATAAAATGTGTTTGAATAGTTAATATTTTGTTCCTAGAAATACTTTAAAGGATTATTGCGTAAACATATTTTTAAAATTATGTTACATAATATGACCACTAAATTCATATTTTGATTATTAAAATAGTCTTTAAAATGATGTACCAATACTTTTTAATTAATTTGAAGAAAATGTCAAATTTTGTGTCTAAAAGAATGAACTGTGTTTGACTATCAAGAAATTAATAATTTGATAATGTATTCATCGAAAGATTAAAAAATATAAAATTTTCATTTCTATATTTTCTTAATATCAAATATGATAAACTATTTAATAGAGAAAATTTGACAAGGAAAACATTTAACATTCAAATTCTAATGAATATTAAAATTCAAACTAAAGAAAAATGAGTAGTTAAAAAATAAAGAAGAACAACAAAAGAAAATGTCAATAGAAAAAAGACTTTGTTGAAAAATATAGAGGATAAAAAAACTAAAAAATAAATAAATTAGAAAAAAACAACCCGAAAAAAAAGTATATTGTTTATTTTGTGGGGGTAAGATTTAGAGTTTTCTTTATGACATGATATTACGAGTGTAGTATCAAAAAAAATTAATTAATGTAATTTAGAATATAACATTACGATAATTGTTATTGTATATAGAAATAAAGTTTCTTTAATGATTATTTTTATTGTTGTGGAGTTAAAAATTATTTTTTTTAATAAATACTTTCAATATTTAGAATATAACATTATGATAATTGTTATTGTATATAGAAATAAAGTTGCTTTCTTGATTGTTTTTATTGTTGTGAAGTTAGAAATCAATTTTTTATGTATTTCTATTTATCGAAGACAATAATAAAATGTATCACAAAATTCATTGACAAAGCCAATTACAAAAACAATCTACTTAAGTTGAAGCAATAGAGATTTGAAAGACTTTAAATCAATCTATACGAAATGATATATCAATGATTAGTATTTTATCAGATGCAAAGCTTATGGTGAAAATATTACAAAACGAAGATAATAACATTGTGGAAAATAGATACCACTTGCGAATATATATGAAGATCGATGAACTTTTTCAAAGATATCAACATTTTATATATTCCTCGAACACTAAATGTTTTAACTCATAATCTAACGCAATTCTCTATTTCCTTGATGCATAGAATTTTTTAGAATTCAGCTTACTCAATTTAGGTTGTAAACGATACATTTATATCCTATGACCATTTGAACTAGATTATAAAGTAATATATTGAAGTTTACTAAAGAAAAAAATAGTATAAAGTACAAAAATCTCATATCTTTGGAGGCTAATTACATCATATTCGGGAAGTTTCCTCAATTACAAAAATCTCAAATTTTTCATTGCTCTTGAATACATTTCTTGGTTGTCCAATACAGTACAAATGACATATTACTTCGGGGGAGGGATGTATTCGAGAGGGGATATGTATGTATCCGAGAGGGAATAGATGCATCCGAGAGGAAATATGGATGTATCAGAGAGAGGATTATAATATCTTAAGAGCCATGAGAGGACGACCAATGTCATTTTAGTAATTTTAACATCATTTAAGGGAAAAATAATAATTGTATAGTTAATGGTGAAAATGAAAATCTAGAAGAATCCATACATGTCTTTACTTTTGTTATGGGCCCATAAAGATATTTTTGTAATTGTGTTAAAATGAAGAGTTTCTGTCATGCCCCGAGCCTACACCCTGGACGTGGCCGGCACTGGAAGACCATTGATGGCCCCCAAGTGAACCCTTGGCCTGGCTTTCTTAACTCAGCGGAAACCTAACTCAACAGAATAACTTAATGCCATGCAAAGACATAAAACAACTTAACTGATGAAATCTGGCCCAAAAGGGCAACTCGAGTCTCAAAATAGAATATTTACATATATACATAGATGAGAGACTCAATACTAACTGACTGACTGTCTATGAAGCCTCTACAATACTGAGATGGATGTTGGGA